ACGATTTAAAAATTGTAACTTCAAGGCCCTCTGGAGCCCAAACTAAGCAACTTTGTACTAAGGTAATTTTACTTAAATCGACTTTTTTTGGTCTATGGAATATGTTGTATGTTTTTGTAAAGACCTTTTACAGACACCCTGTATAATTTTAACTTTTGACTTAAAAGTCTTACTCAGATTTTATTTTTACACATATTTATAAATTGTAAGTTTACATCCACAATTTTTGTAGATAAGCATTGATGATGGCACAATGCTGAAAGCGCTTTGCATTTATTAATTAAAAAGTTTTGAACTAAATACAAGTCTTTCCTTCTGAATAAAATTATTGTGTTTACATGTGTTACTTAAATAGATAATTCTTGTACAAAAATTAAATGTACATGGTTGGGTGGAAGAGCAGAGTTACTTAAAGGCAGTTCATCTACCTTTAAGGAACATTGAACCCTGCCAATTGACATAAGTCATATATGTATGCATAATGTCAATAAAAGCATTTATTATTATTATTATTATTATTACATAAGCATTTTAACTTAAATGAATATAATCTATATGGACGGAACATTTTCATTTTGTACAAAATTTTTCTATCAACTTTTTACAATTCATGGATTCCAAAATGGCCACTATATTCCTTCAGTTTTTTGTCTGTTACCGAGTAAGACTACTAAATGTTACAAAAAGTGTTTTTCTTTACTAAAATGTCAAATTTATGAAAAGTACGGTCTTATATTTGGCGGCCTTAAGTAAATGAATAAACCGTTGACTCCAGGAACATTTTAAACAGACATGTACTTTTTTTACAAATGCATACCTTCCCTTCACCTATCACCATCAATCTTGATTGTTAGCTACCAAATTCAAACGTCCCGGTAAGCAAAATTTTCAATTAATCATCAGTTTTCCATTTCGTAAAAAATATGAAAAGCTGAGAATATACAAAAATAAACGGAACGAACAATTCGTGCTTATTTCCATAATTTGTTAATGTCACGTAGAAGATTATTGGGGTATTTTAAAATCATTGCAAGCTTCCTAAAAGGATTTTGATGTGCCTTATAATATGCGTCATGGGAAATCTGAAGACAAATATAAATTTCGAGGGAAATTGCTTCAAGCGATAAATGAAAAATAAATCCATCACTCAGATTTAATGAAGTAGAACTGTCTAAAGAAATATTTAACTTTATATTAGAAACTTAATTATTATAATTTCAACTTTAAAGTACTCAATGTCACTTTTACGTAAGTAATATCTGAACAAATTTTAAAAATATGTAATTCTTTTATCAAACTGAAAACAGAATAATGTTCGCAGGAAGGTGCAATATTTCAAAAGACGGATGAATCACAATTAAAAAAATCCTGGCACAGGAATACATGCTTTGTACGGGAAATTCTCCTTTGCGAGTACTCAGTTATGAGAGGAAAATCAAAGCAAGACTTTCCTTTTATATTAGCATCAACTTGGTATACAATATCTGCATATCACCTGAAATTAAAAACCTGTACCTTCCTGGGTAAATTTTATAAAGGACATCATTATATATTTCAAAAGTAAATCTCTCAAAGGATTATATTAAAATTAAAAGCATTTTTAAAATTGAAAATTTGAGAGACGCTATATTGATGGTTCTCACCTTATTTGGGATGACTCCCCACGGGCAAACTCATATCATAAACGAAACTATTTGATTTTGAATGAAAGACCAAAATACGATGAAAAGTATTGTAACGTTAAATTTCAGGTTTTTGACGAATTGGTGTTACTCAGGTTAAACTACGTAGACGTAGACGTAATCCTGGAATTAAAAAAATTATCCATTTCGCTTTTTAGACATTGTTTGAAACAATTTCTATAAAAATATTTATGTGTTTTACTCCTTAATCCTGCATATTTAAAATATACTGACCCTTTACCATTTAGGCCTGTCCATATAGAAATATTTTATCTCCTTACTTTTTAAGCCACCTATGTAAAAATATTTGGTCCCTTTATTTCTTTATCATCTATATATAAAACTATGTATTTGGTTCCATATCTTTTGAGTATGCACAAATTAAAACTCTATGGGTCATCTACCTCTTGAGTCTATTTAATTATTTGGACTCTATCTCCCAAGTAACATTTTTAAGAAAATAAAGTTTTATTTATGTTTTATTATGGTTTTGTAATTCCAATTTAATTAATCCAGTGGTCGCCAACCTCTCAATGTGTTGAGTTACTTTGTTAATTTTGGAATAAACAGCGAGCTACCCACATGGAAGCCACGTAAAGCAACGTAAATAAAATAATCCACAGTTAATTTATCATTATATGTATTTATTTTACTATTTAACTGGTAATACATAATACATAGGTACTAATAATAAACTAATAACAAAATAACTAATATTACTAGTACGTACTTGTTCATAGCTACATTCCTACCTACCAAACGAAGGTGTTTGAAAAATAAACACAAACTTTTATCCAGCCACAACGGCATGTCACGTAAGATTTAAAAATAGTTAATAATAACAACAAAAAAGTAAAGCACTATCATGAACATAAACATTGAAAAATAAAAAAGCACGTTCAATGAGAAAGCTGACACTCAGACTCATCGATAATGTTTGCAGTATAATTTGATACAGCCATTCGAATACAATTATCCAAATGTTCATCTGTAAGTCGATTGCGATATTTGTTCTTAATAAACTTCATATTGGAAAAAGAAGATTCACACAAATAGATTGAACTGAATAATGCTTTCACTTTCAAGGCAACACGGCATAGAACTGAATATTTGTCTTTACTTACAATAGGCCAGATACATTTGGTACTTGAGACTAACGATTTTAAGGCTAAATCATTTTGAAACTCAATTACTTCCATTACTGTTGCAGCGATGTCTTTGCCAAAGTTCTGCATAACACAAGTTGCAAACTGTTGGATATCAATTTCCATAAAGGGTGAAACAACAAACTGCGCTACTAAAGCCATTTCGTTGAAATCCATAAAACGATTTTTGAAGTTATTCTTCAGGGTAGAAACTATTTCTACATGATATTTGCTGTCATAGGGTTCTAATGGATTTTGAGGTATTTTTTCTGAAAGAATAGGAAAATGCTTGGCATCGCTTTTATATCAGAAATCATTTCCGCTAGTTCTTTGTCTCTCTCCCTGAAGCTGCAAATTAAGTTCGTTTAATTTCTCTGTAATGTCCACGAGAAAACCAAAATCTCTAAGCCAGATTGAATTTTCTAGTTCCGGAGTCGGTCATCGCGTTGTTTGAAAAATTGAACTATGCCAAATAGGACATCATTAAAACGTTTCAGCACCCGTCCTCTACTTAACCATCGGACTTCAGAGTGAAGGAGTAGGTCCCCGTATTGACAGTCAACTTCATCGGTCAAGGTTTTGAATAATCTTCTTTGTAACGCTTGAGCTCTAATCTTGTTCACAATTTTTACCAACAGTTTCATAACGTTGTTTAGTTTCAGGAAATTTCCACATAATGCTTGCTGATGGATAATGCAGTGGTAACAGAGAAATTCCGGAAAAGTTTCATCTTTACGACATAACGCCACCAGACCCTTATCACAACCCACCATAGCTGGAGCGCCATCGGTTGTCAAGCCTACCATTTTCGATATTGGAATTTTCTCGGAAGAAATAATATTTTTTAAATGAGAAAACAACTCCTGTCCAGTAGTATGTCCTTTCAGTGGAATAAACTTCAAAAGATCTTCTTTAATCGTAAAATCACTAAAAACCATTCTGAAGAACACGACCATCTGGGCAGTGTCAACGACATCTGTTGATTCATATAGTTGAAGTGAAAAATAAACACTGTTATTTCTTAACTGTAAAAAAATATCATTGCTCATTACTTCTACACGTCTCATCACTGTATTAGCAGAAAGTTGCATAGATTTATAGCTGAAACTATCTCGTCTTTATTTCTAAAGTTGGCAAATAACGAATCAGCAGCTTCTAAAAACGCCTCTTTTATCATTTCCCCGTCTTCATAAGGTTTCCTTTTTTGTGCAATTATCTAGGCGGCAGAATGTAGTGGGAATGATTTTTCAAAATTAGAATGTACAATTTTATGATGTCTCTTAATATTTCCTTTTTTAGCAACAGAGACCGAAGTATTACATAACAAACACATATTTTTATCTTTAACTTCTGTAAAAAAGTATTGTTCTTCCCACTCCGAATGAAAGTGGTATGTCTTTACCTTCTTACAACTGCTTGCCATAATATTATTTTTTGTTGTTCTCTACTAACCCAACCGCTGAACGTTGGTTACGCGTTTAGTTTTAAACTAAGCGCAATGTCGCCGCGCTGTACGTATTTATCCCGTTCAAAGCAATCCTGATCGTTCTCGAACACTAACGCGCTGGTCCGGCTGGTCGGTTCTAGCCGATTCTAGCTTGATGGCGTCAGCGGCAGATCGCTCACCGCCACGTTGCCGCTGCTTATGTTTAATATTATGACAATTAGATTTTTTTGTGGAATTTTCGGAAGCTTCTCTGATTTTTGCAGTTTGTATTTTTTAAATTAAAATCGTTGTGAGAGCTACCAGAATTGCCTCCGCGAGCTACCGGTAGCTCGCGATCGACAGGTTGGCGACCACTGAATTAATCCATTTTTCAAAGTAAATACACTTATTTTTATTTATTTCTAACTTTAATGCTACTAAAGTCCATCTAAACCAAATGTTTGCCGAATAACAATTTCAAAACATTAAGCGACCGCCGCGCGATTTGTCTGCTAGCTTCAGCTTCATGTTCACACGATATAGGTCAAATCAGACATTTTGCCAAATGTATTACATAAAAAGGATCCTTCTCGCATGATACACGATAGAAATCAATTTTCTATTTTATTCCGAAGTCAAATGTGTTATAAATTGTAACTTGATTCATTTGTGCTGCCAAAATTTTACGTATCTAATCATCGAAATGGAAAAGGGAAAGTAGAAAATTTATATGGCTTCTAAATTAACTCACATGCTGAGTTCATAGGTCGTGGAATATATCACTTTACAGGAAACGTTTTCGATTTCCGGCCTTTCCGGTAATGCTAAACTTATCATTTGCAATCCACTTCGGAGAATTATAGGCTCCTGAAGGAGAAGTGTAAATGTAATTAGAGATATTCTGAGCTGAAAACTTTCTACAGATTCCATCCAATTTGTTTAGCACTGGCGAAACTACGATAATAATTCCTATAATTATTAAATAATTTCTTAATGTAACATTCGAGAGTTCAAATATGTATTTAAAGGTACGTTTACATCTGACATTTATTGCATGAAATTTATGTCTGACAGTTGTTTAGTCCAGTGAAACACTCAAAAATATATCTCCGAGAGCAATCGAGAATTAAAACAGAAGTTTATATGAATCGGTTTTATTCTTATATTTCCTTCCAAACAGAAAAAGACAATAAATATCTTTTTCAATAAATCTTGATAGATACTTATACTTACAGTGCCGAAGCAACTGAGAAAGAAAATAGATTTTCTTTTCAGTGTCGACAATGCCGTCTTGATATGTCTTAAGGATACGTCGTGTGTTACAAGGAAAAACTTTTATCCGATAAGAAAAATGAACAAATGGATTGTAGGTTGCTTAAACTTATTTTCGGAAACAATTAACAAGAAAGTAATATTATATAATTTTAAGGTGAAGGGGGAAAAAAGTCCTTTATATCTCACAAGGAAAGTTAATGTTTAATTATTCAGTAAAACATTGAGTGCGACCGGTTTCGAAGTATCATCACTTCATCTTCAGGCTCGCCTAGTGGAAAGGAGAATATGTGGTGTAAGGTGTGTTAACTTTGAGCCAACGATATATAAAATAGTAAAAAAGAAAACTCACCATACTCTCCATCCACTAGGGAATACCACAAACAAGTTTCATCAAATGTGGGGGATGAAATAAATTGTAAAATAAAAGTAAAGGAGCAACACGGGTTCGGCCTCATTCCCCATGTTAATTCCCATAAGAAATCGCTAAGGTTCATTCTGCACTTTTTTGTCTATATCAAGGTCATTCGTCTTGACGTCACGCAGAAACGTCAAACGTCAAACGTCAAACGTCAAACGTCAAACGTCAAACGTCAAACGTCAAACGTGAAACGTGAAACGTGAAACGTGAAACGTGAAACGTGAAACGTGAAACGTGAAACGTGAAACGTGAAACGTGAAACGTGAAACGTGAAACGTGAAACGTGAAACGTGAAACGTGAAACGTGAAACGTGAAACGTGAAACGTGAAACGTGAAACGTGAAACGTGAAACGTGAAACGTGAAACGTGAAACGTGAAACGTGAAACGTGAAACGTGAAACGTGAAACGTGAAACGTGAAACGTCAAACGTCAAACGTCAAACGTCAAACGTCAAACGTCAAACGTCAAACGTCAAACGTCAAACGTCAAACGTCAAACGTCAAACGTCAAACGTGAAACGTGAAACGTGAAACGTGAAACGTCAAACGTTTCACGTTTCACGTTTCACGTTTCACGTTTCACGTTTCACGTTTCACGTTTCACGTTTCACGTTTCACGTTTCACGTTTCACGTTTCACGTTTCACGTTTCACGTTTCACGTTTCACGTTTCACGTTTCACGTTTCACGTTTCACGTTTCACGTTTCACGTTTCACGTTTCACGTTTCACGTTTCACGTTTCACGTTTCACGTTTCACGTTTCACGTTTCACGTTTCACGTTTCACGTTTCACGTTTCACGTTTCACGTTTCACGTTTCACGTTTCACGTTTCACGTTTCACGTTTGACGTTTGACGTTTCTGCGTGACGTCAAGACGAATGACCTTGATATAGACAAAAAAGTGCAGAATGAACCTTAGCGATTTCTTATGGGAATTAACATGGGGAATGAGGCCGAACCCGTGTTGCTCCTTTACTAATAAACAATGTTACAAGTTATATAAATGTTAAAAATATTTGAAAAACAAATATTAGTCAGTTTAAATAACACATACATTAAACAGATTAAAAGAGAAGGCTTATTTTAAACACATTGTTGTTTTTTAAAAAATAATTAATAGTGTTACTTAACCTAACATTTTTGAAAGGAGACCTGTCAAGCTAAGGCCTCCACAGGTGGTGGTAAGTAATAACAAAAAATTCTTGGATAAACTTACGACAGGGTATAGGTAATAAGATGCAAACTATGAGTGAAGAAATATTTATTATTTATTATATAAGATTTGGGCCATGAATCACCAATTGCCAAGTGTATGTGATGTTGTAGGATAAAAAAGAAAGAAGAAGAAATGACTGGGTTAACTGTTGTGAAGCAACTGAAAAATGAAAGAAGAAAAGAAGAAAATGACAGAATATAAATATCACATAACCTAATATTTAAACATGCTCGTTGGTTTTTTGTGGGAAAAAATTACTTACTGAAATGTACCCCTTGCAAGAAAATATGTTAATAGAAATAAAGGGGGAAGTTAAAAAGGAGTTAAAACGATAAATTTAGATTAGTGTTGAGAAAACTGGAGGAGTTTCTGACATTATCTGGGCATTTAAGCAACCAACAGGATTTAATTTTAAATTTCTCAATATCTCGAGGCTTTCGAAGCTATTAAGAGTAAATCTATGGTAGGAACTATGTAGGATTTCGAAACCTTCAGTTGAATCGAAGTCGTGATTTGAGTCTAGTAGGTGGTTGGCAAAATGTGAAAATCTTGTTGTATTTTGGTTAAGACAACGCAAATGTTCTTTTAAACGGATCTTGAAATTTCGAAATGTGCGTCTCACATAGAAAGAATGGCAAGATTTACAAGTTAATTTATAAATTCCAGATAAGTCATAGGGATCTAATTTATCTTTATTATGAACAAATAACTTATGTAATGAGGAGGGGGTTTTGAATGATACTTTAAAGTGGTCTTTAAGTAAGCTTGCCACTTTATAGGATGATTTTCCAATAAAGGTAAGAGAAATGTATTTCTTACTGGTGGTTAGTTCATGTACCATATTAGGATTGTTAATATAAACTAAGTTTTATGAATTTTATTTTGTTTATGTGTTAGCATTTTACCAATAATATCCAGTTCAAAGTTGTGATCTATAGCAATAGTTTTAATTATATTTAGTTCCTTATAAGGAACATTTTAGTATAAATTAACTAGTTCCAGACCTTGGAAATGGTTGCAAATTTAAACTTACTGTTATTTAAACTAGCCAATTACTATTGCAAAGTTTAAAAATTAATGTGAAATGTTCAAAACAGGATGAAAACTTTTTCGTGGAAACTCAAAGTTTCTCATCAAATAAAATACATATACAATAGATATTTCTCTAAAAAAAAAAATTGTATTATAATATTAGCATAATAAATACCTGCATTCTTCCCACTGGTGGAGAAACGACTAGAAAAATCCTCATAGTCGCTTTCAGGAAGTCGTCTTGCTTCAAACCATCTTTGTTACTCCTTGAACCGCTGATCTTGCTTCGACAAAAACTAGTACTAGATTTAATATTTTTATCACTATCTTTTTTGTCACTCTTTCGAACAACTTTTTGGTCCGCAGATTTCGACACTAATAAACTACCAGTTTGTTTAGATTTTTCTTTAAAACTAAGAGCTTTGAAAATGTCAGTCTTAGCACTGTCTAGTCCGATCGATTTTTGCTTAACGAGAGGCTGTTTATCACTTTTCTTGTCTTTATCGCAGCTTTTTTCGCGTCTAAACATTTCGAATTTCGATTGGGTTAGGGAATTCTTTCGAGACAACGACTCGTTTTTGGTTTGAGAAGTGGCGGGTTGGAGGTCTGAAGACCCTGAGGCATGTCTTTGGACTTTCCTTCTGATAGATCCGACGAATCGTCTCCACTCCTGGTTGCCTTCAGTCGGCTGGATGGGCTCTTGGTCGATGTTCAGGCTTTCTCGGGCTATTTTTACCGGTTTCGATGAAAATAGTTTTACTATGTTGTTCAGGATCTTTGATTTTGTTGGATTAAATCAATACTTAAACTTTGTACATCGTTGATTATTATAGGGGTATTCTAAACACTTATTCTAGTTTATTATATACAATAAGCGCTTTATGCTTCTCCAATAAATGAAACTGTAAAAAAGGTTTGTTGTTAAATTACTTCAAGCTTCAAGTGTACATTTCTTCATATATTACTTATTGGCATATACTAAAAAGTTTAAAATTTTGCTAAAATATTTCAAAACCGGAATCTAATATATGTATACGTATTTAAATACAGAAGCGAGGCCCGATATATTCAACACACCACCCGAGGCCCTCCTGAAGGAGTGATTGTTTTATTATATATTTTGATGTTTTTAAATGTACTAATAATGTTAAATTATAACCCCACAGGAGAAAGCTAGTAATACAATGTATTCTCCATGGTTTAATGCGAGTCCCTTATCAATGTTTAACTGACATATGAGTCCCTGCGACGTTGTCAAGATGGGCCCATGAATTTTGCCCCTCAAAAGGTTTAACTCTTGAACTTTTACAGAACTTTATAACAAATCTCTTTTTTATGAGTTCGCGCGTGTAGTGTTATAATAGGTTTGTTCCAATACGTGCGAAAACGGTAATATTACGGTACAAATCATGCGGTCTATACAAAAATTGTTTACAGTGCTTGATTTGTTCCGAAATATTATCGTTTTCACTTTGTGCGTTTTTAGAAAAATCTATTTTACTGAGAGAAAAATGTTATGTAAAAAAGCTGTAGGTATTATAGGAGATATATTACATCTTTATTGGTTTGTTTTATTATATTCTAAACAAAAAACAAAAATTGGTTGGCGAGGGTATTTATTTAAACTATATCACCCGTTTAAAATACTAAATCTCTGACTTTAATTATTGTTTTTACTCTCTAACATAAAACACGAACAATCGTAATACTGACAAAACAAAACTATAATTGTAATCGTAAATCTGTCTCGCTCAACGCTGGGTTCCAATGATTTAATTACGCCAATTTAACATCAGTACAGATTGTGCCAAACTGAAGAATACATATTTTTATTTTTACTTTGCCAATTATCTTTGTCTAGTAAGCAATAATAAGTGAAAATATAGACATGCAAAATTTTAAAATATATTTTTTATTTTAAGTAAGAGAAAAATATAAAATGATTCATAGAAATGTTTCTAAAGTTGGCTTTAGTAAAATTTACGCATGTCGGAGCATTAAATTATTCTTCTTCTTCTTTTTAGGTTTAAGTTTGATTTTAATTCAGAATCGTCCGTAGTTAATACGGACACAGGACACGAATCGTTATTTTGTGGATAACTGTGTTCCGCTGGAACCACTATTTCAAAATTTGTTTTAGTTTTTATAAAAAACAAAGCAAAAATTTTAACATCACTTTTTTTAAACTTTTAAGAATTTGTATTCCAATTTATTTTTATCAATTTGAAAAAGCTCACCTGCTAAGCGAGACCGATTAATATCAGTTCTAAAGGCCATCCAGGCCCGCAGCTTCTGATATAACATTCTTTCCCAACTTACGTCATTTTGACGGAAAAAAAAATATATACAACTTACTCTTGTATCTATAACAATTTAGAATATCAGGGGTGTTATTACCAGAATTGATACACATTTTAGTAGACAATACCTACTTGTGTTAACACCAATGATTAAAAAGTTGAATAAAAACATTTTAGAGTTGTAACATATAGCAACTTTGTATATTTTATGAACTATTCTCAATCAAAATAACAATAAAAAATTGTCGTAGAGAGATGAATGAATGTCTTGTTCCTACTTTAGATTTAATTAATTTATCAGATAATAAAGTGACTCGATATTTGAATAGTTTAGAACAGTGGTCGCCAAGCTGTCGATCGCGAGCTACCGGTAGCTCGCGGAGGCAATTCTGGTAGCTCTCACAATGATTTTAATTTAAAAAATACAAACTGCAAAAATCAGAGAAGCTTCCGAAAATTCCACAAAAAAATCTAATTGTCATAATATTAAACATAAACATAAAATAGGCGTTTTTAGAAGCTGCTGATTCGTTATTTGCCAACTTTAGAAATAAAGACGAGATAGTTTCAGCTATAAAATCTATGCAACTTTCTGCTAACACAGTGATGAGACGTGTAGAAGTAATGAGCAATGATATTTTTTTACAGTTAAGAACTGACTTAGATAACTGTGTTTATTTTTCACTTCAACTGGATGAATCAACAGATGTCGTTGACACTGCCCAGATGGCCGTGTTCGTCAGGATGGTTTTTAGTGATTTTACGATTAAAGAAGATCTTTTGAAGTTTATTCCACTGAAAGGACACACTACTGGACATGAGTTGTTTTCTCATTTAAAAAATATTATTTCTTCCGAGAAAATTCCAATATCGAAAATGGTAGGCTTGACAACCGATGGCGCTCCAGCTATGGTGGTGTAACAACCACCGTCACTTAGGGTGTAACTGTTGTCACTAAATAATAATGTAGTGGCCAAAAGGACTCTAGTCATCAACGGGGGGTGTACACTGTAAGTGTAAAGGCAGCCTGTCACCAGCCACAGTCAGGGGATAAGGTCCTTAGAGCTTATTCACTCTCACCGTGACAAAAAAAAAGAAAAAAAGAAAAAATAAAATAATAGATTTAAAATAAAAGAATTTTCCCCCGTGATGAATAGAACGAGCGGATTAAGGAAATGGTTTGGCAAACTGACAATAGGCACCTATAGTCCTTACTCGGGAGTAGGTTCGCCGGGGCTTCGCAAAAGTGCCCGGAGTGTCTTTTGACAAAAGGGGAAGGTAGACCTGATGAAATCGACTATATTTTGGTTAAAGAATATAAAAGAACACCTAAATAATTATTCAGTTATCCAACTCTGGACTTTGTTAGATAGCTTATCTGAACTAGGGGTTGTCCCTCTTTATAGAACTCGGGCAAAACTCAACAACTCTTAACACACATAAGATAAAACCAGGTGAACGTTTAACAACTTAATATATTTAGCTCAATATATATTTAAACATGTAACAAATTTTAATCATAGACAAAAGAAACGATCAAGTAATACAATATGTTTGGAGGTACAAGATCCACCCTGAGGTTCTTGCCTGATTCGGTAAATCAGTCGTCGATAACAAAATACCGATAAATAATGTAAGGATAGATAGCAAAAAAATGTCAGAAATCCCGTTGGATCTTGTAGCTACCAAAGTCAAAAAAATAAACTATATCACTCCCTATTAAAATCTACGATGAGAGGTAACAAAATAACTTGGCAAAAATGAAAAAAAGAGAGAACTGTCACAATTTTAATGTAGTGAAAGAGGAAGGCTTACCTTGCTCGAAACGTAGTTTCGATTTCACTAAGTTTAAATTGATTGGCTGATATTTATTATTAAATCACAATTTAAAAAAATTACTTTATGATTCCCGATATACGATTTATCGGCGTCGATGGGTAGTCGGACAGCGTAACGTCCGGCCCACTCAGTAACTGTCCTTTTCCCTCGTTCCCACATCATTTTTATATTGATTGAGACGTGCTTTCTTTGAAATTTTTGGTCAACTCATATATTTAATCTACTTTGATATTATAGTAACTGTTTACTATTTCTAAGGTCAAATGAAGAAAGGTACTTGAAAATTTATATGAGATTTTTATGTAAAATCTTTAGATTAATTAAAATAATTGCCAAATTATTACAGTGGGTTGTGATAAGGGTCTGGTGGCATTATGTCGTAAAGATGAAACTTTTCCGCAATTTCTCTGTTACCACTGCATTATCCATCAGCAAGCATTATGTGGAGATTTCCTGAAACTAAACAACGTTATGAAACTGGTGGTAAAAATTGTGAACAAGATTAGAGCTCAAGCGTTACAAAGAAGATTATTCAAAACCTTGGCCGATGAAGTTGACTGTCAATACGGGGACCTACTCCTTCACTCTGAAGTCCGATGGTTAAGTAGAGGACGGGTGCTGAAACGTTTTAATGATGTCTTATCTGGCATAGTTCAATTTTTCAAACAACGCGATGAACCGACTCCGGAACTAGAAAATTCAATCTGGCTTAGAGATTTTGGTTTTCTCGTGGACATTACAGAGAAATTAAACGAACTTAATTTGCAGCTTCAGGGGAGAGACAAAGAACTAGCGGAAATGATTTCTGATATAAAAGCATTTATCAAAAAGCTGGAGTTTTGGGAACAAAACCTAATTAACAGCGATGCCAAGCATTTTCCAATTCTTTCAGAAAAAATACCTCAAAATCCATTAGAACCCTATGACAGCAAATATCATGTAGAAATAGTTTCTACCCTGAAGAATAACTTCAAAAATCGTTTTAAGGATTTCAACGAAATGGCTTTAGTAGCGCAGTTTGTTGTTTCACCCTTTATGGAAATTGATATCCAACAGTTTGCAACTTGTGTTATGCAGAACTTTGGCGAAGACTTCGCTGCAACAGAAATGGTAGTAATTGAGTTTCAAAATGATTTAGCCTTAAAATCGTTAGTCTTAAGTACCAAATGTATCTGGCCTATTGTAAGTAAAGACAAATATTCAGTTCTCTGCCGTGTTGCCTTGAAAGTGAAAGCATTATTCAGTTCAACCTATTTGTGTGAATCTTCTTTTTCCAATATGAAGTTTATTAAGAACAAATATCGCAATCGACTTACAGACGAACATTTGGATAATTGTATTCGAATGGCTGTATCAAATTATACTTACAAACATTAAAAAAATTATCGATGATTTCATTTACGTTGCATTACGTGGCTTTCGTGTGGGTAGCTCGCTGTTTAT